AGGGGCTATTGGGAACCCAACTCCTTCCTGTCTCTCTCTCTTGTTTTCTGGCAGCCATGAGGTGAACAGGCCCACTCTGTCACATACTCCCATCATGATGGTCCTGTGCCAGAGCATCAGGGTCAAATGACCATGGACTGAAAGCTCTGAAACCATGAGCCAAAATAATCCTTTCCTCCTTTTGAATTAGTTATCTTGAGCATTTTCTTATGAGTGACAAAAAGATAAGTAACACAATTCTCAAAACTCAATAATAAAAAATATCCTATTTTAAATATGATACAAAGAACTTAACAGATATTTCATCAAAGAAGATATACTGATAGCAGATAAATACATGTAAAGATGCTAAACATCATATGCTCTTAAGGGATTGTGAATTAAATGAACAAGGAGATACCATAACTCACCATTAGAATGACCAAATATCAAAACAACTGAAACAGCGAGTTTCTTTAAAAACTGTCTATAGCCTTTCCGTGCAATACAGCAATTATACTCTTTTTTCTTCTCTTTTCTTTTTTTTATTTGTTCATTTTAGATATACATGACATTAGAGTATATTTTTGACATATTATACATTCAAAGAGTATAACTTATTCTAATTAGGATCCCATTCTTGTAATTGTACATGATGTGGAATTTTACTGGTGGTGTATTCATATATGAACATAGGAAAGTTACGTCCGATTCATTCTACTGTCTTTCCTATTCCTATGCCCCTCCCTTCCTATACCCCCTTATACTCTTGAATATTTATCTAACTGAACTGAAAACTATGTCCATGCAAATAGCTACACATGAATGTTTATAGTACCATTATTCATAATCATCAAAACCTAGAAGCAAACATAATGTCCAGTAGGATTTTTTTAAGCCTGTGGTACAAGCATGCAATGAAATATTTATTATTCATCAATAAAAGGAAATGAACTATCAAGACATGAAAACACAAGGAGGAAATTCAAATGCATATTACTGAAGAAAAGAAGGCAAAGTGAAAAGGGTTTATACCTTTTCCAACTTTATGACATTCCAAATATATGACATTCTGGAAAAGACCAATCTATGGAAACAGCAAAAATTTAGTGAACACCAGAAGTTAGGATTGAAGGAGCAATAAATAGGCATGCCATAAAGGACTTTTGGGACAGTGAAAATACTCTGTATGATGCTTCTTACATGGTGACTACATGTCATTACACATTTGTCCAAATCCTAAGAATGTACAACACTAAAAGTGAACCACAGTGTAAACTATGGACTTTAGATAATAGTGATGACATCTAAATGTCATTGTAGCTTAGGAATTTTAGCAAATGCACTGGTAGGGGATGTTGATATTGAGGCAGCTATGAATGTGTGAAAGCAGGGGTTTGGAGGGAAATTTCTAGATGTTTCTTTCAAATTTTCTGGGAGCCAAAAAAAAAGTTTAAAAAAATGCAACCATTTTTGTCTCACTTGCTGCTCTGGGGAAAAAAGAAAATAGTGTTAGGTGAAAATGGTTCTCATGAGTTTGGGTATTTCCTAAAGATATCATATATCATGTCTAGTCTATGCCTTCTGTCCCAAGATTAGTTAAGAGGGAATGTGCTACCTTGTTACTTCTCATGCATCTTGCATATTTTAATGATATTAAATTTGTGTGGATTTATGGGGCTCAGTATGTTATCTTTTTGTCAAGAGGAGTACTTCTCACTTTAAGTCTTTGGTGATAAAGTCCTACCTTAAAGGATCTTCGAGGATCCTTGCCCAGTTCCCCTCTCCTATTCCCCAGATCAGAGAGGGCTAGCCTCACTCTTTGACTGAGTGGTCTCCATGTCCATTCCCACATTCAAGTTCATGCACTTGAAATTCTGCTCTCTTGCAGGATAAAGGAGAACAGATCTTGGACGCGGTATGATGAGTTGGCTCTGGTGGTCCAGAATTGCCACAGATGGGATGTTGGCCTTTGGTTTAAAACAAAGATTAAGCAGAGCCCCATCTATCACTCTCCTGAGTCCACTAAATACCAGACCCCTATAAAGACAGCAGTCATCAGTTAAACAAATGAACCATTAAGTTGAGAACAGATGTGTGAAAACAGCCACCCTCTCCTGATTTACTGACCCTCAGTAGACATTAGTTTGGCAATTGACTTTATCTGTAACAAACAGCTTGGCCTGCTGCTTAGAAGTCTTGGTTTCCTTTGACACTTTGAGTTACATCCCACACACATATACCTCCCATGAAGGGACTCTGGGGCTAAGCAGGTGACTTTCATGATGAACTATGATGAACTGTTTTTCCTTCTTAGCTCTTACTTGCACAAGGTTGATAAGCCATCATGTCAACCACGTTGTCAGTCTCATTGGGCTGGAATGAAATTTGGAGGCTTGTGGTCACAACCTATCTTCGTGTAGTGGTAGATTTATTTTAAGGTGGACCTGTTTCTCTGATAGGCTTTGATAAGACACGGTTTTGTTAATACAACAGGCAACTCTGTCTACAGGAGGATGCATGGTATAAATAAATCCTCAAGGTCCCCTCCAGCATTTGAAGGGGTGGTAGTTCAAAGATAAAATTATTAGAGATTTTAAAATTATTAGATGTTCAGCAACCATTAAAAGCGCTGCTCCCTCATTAAGTGAAAACCAGAATGTTTTGTTTGCTTTTCATTTTTGCTTTACCTTTTTAAATCTCAATTTTTATTCTGCACGTCCAGGTTTAAAATTCCTTTTGATGGGTGGACAACCCAGGTCTGTGAAATGAGCATCAGGGAAATAAACAGAGATGGGCATGGAGTGGGGAGCAGATTCAATACTTATATTTGGGCCCTGGCCAAGTGTTCCAGTGCTAACCATCAGTTCTCAAGGGTTGGACCACATATGACTATAACTGCCTGCAGTTGCAAGAAACAGAAACAACTTGACCTTGAGGTGTTTTTTATTTTTATTATTATTATTATTATTATTATTATTATTTGAACTTTGTAGTTACACATAGTGGTTGGGTTCATCCTGACAAACTCATATGTGGGTTAAATTTGATTTCAATACTTGGTCCCTCTTTTCCCTCCCTCTTTCCTTCTCCTCCTCCCTCCCTCCCCTATTTTCTTTCTTCTGCTCTCTACTAGACTTCCTTTTGCTCATCTATTTATTTGTATTTGATTGGTTCTTTGACCTGGGTTTTGAAGAAGGAAGAGGACGAAGAAGAGGAGGGTCAGGGAGAAGAAAAGAAAGGTGGCAGTAATAGTAATAGACATGGAGGTCCTCACTGTAACGGTTTGATAGGGAGAGAAGTAAGGAACCTAGAGTGCACATATCATGGAACTCAAGGGCAGGGACATATCTAGGTATCTAAAGGAGACTGAATCTGAAACCAAAGGAACCCTGGTGTGCTCTCCCTGGGCTTCCTCATTCCTTCTGTATTCTGCCCCAGAACCCCTTCCTGCAGACTTGTTTTCCAGAGACTCAGTCCACATGCTGGGAGATGACTATATTACAGTCCCAGTTGACTACAGCTCCTTTTAATTTGAGGATAGTCTGGACCAAAGTCAAACTTTTTTAACAATTCTAGTTTTTCCTAAGAGAGCATCTGATTGATTCTGATTGGAACAGTTGTCTGATGAAGTTCAATCAATTGGCCAGGAATTATAGGATACAGAGTTCCCCTTTATCCTGTTTCAGTGACCTGCACTCAACTGCCATCCAAAAATATTAACTAGAAAATTCTAGAAATAATTTATAAGTTTTAAATAACTCTTATGATGAAATATTATTAGAACTGTTCTATTTTATTTGTCATTATTGTTATTAATCTCTTTCTGTGTCTAACTTATAAATTCAACTGTATGGTAGTTAAGAATGTATAGGCAAAAGTATGATGTATACAGTGTTTGGTATAAACCTGTTACCTCTGCTGCATCAGGTATCCACCAAACGTTTCAGAATATATCCCCCAAAGATAAGGGGGACTAATACATCAAAATGGTTACCAGAAGCCCACCCCTATAGCTGAAGGGGAAAGTCAAGTGGCCTGGAAGAAACTCCATAAAGTGTTTTCTAGAACCCATCACTGTCCACATAATACAAAGATTTATCTCTGGGTATTACCAACCAAAGTTGTTGGATTTGTTTGTTTTTCCTGCTTTGGTTTGGTTTGAATCAATAATATCATTGAAATTTTTACTAAAAATCCATAGTTTTTCCTTCATTCAAAGCAACACATCATATGCTTTTTTTTTCTTTTTTCTTTTCTTTTTTTTTTTTTTTTTTGGTAAGCAGTTTTGGGAGTGCCAAAGAGAAAATGGATATGGAAGGTTTATCTAGATGTACACCAAAGAGCTCTATCTTTACACCATCCCAGGGAAAGAAATAATTCTATATTATATTTTCTTTACTTAAAGGAAAAAAGATGGTTTGAATTATACCTAAGACAATCATTTTAGAGGCTGAGACTGGAGGATCATGTGAGTTCAAAGCCAGCCTCAGCAACAGTGAGGCACTAAGCAACTCAGTGAGACCCCGTCTCTAAATAAAATACAAAATAGCTCTTGGGATGTGACTCAGTGGTTGAGTGCCCCTGAGTTCAATCCCTGGTACCAAAAAGAAAAAGAAAATAATTTTAGGTGCTGAAGAGTGTATCATAATTTTTTTTTTGCTTTAACCTGCAAACTTCAAAATATTCTTCCCTCAAATTACACCCAGGACCTTTCTAATTTTATTTGTGGTTTCATCTAAACAGAACCTCAAAGCTCATGAGAAAGGCTGACTCAGCTGAGGGCTATGTGTGCCCTTTCTGCCCCCAAGACCTTATTCTAGATGGAGCAGAGAGCAATGGCCAGAAATCCTTATGATCCAGAAGCTACCCACATGGGGCTCTTGAAGGCCAGGCTGCCCCAAGTAGTTGGTATTAGAATCCCTTCTGGAGACTCACCTTTCTCTGAAATAGCTTCGGTTTCCTAGTCTTTCCTTCCTGAGAGACGTTAATAGCCTTTGTTTTGCCCCATTTCCCTCTAGGCTTGAGGCAGGTATGAATGCTGATGTGGTGTGTCACACTCTGGAATTTTGTAAGCAGAACACTGGCCAACCGCTGTGCCACCTCTACCCGCTTCCCAGGGTAAGTGGGCTCCACCCTGAATGTTGTCTACAGTGACATTAAAGCCCTTTGAAAATGTCATCAAGGATGCTCAACTTCACTTACTCTGAGGTTTGGGGACAGGAAAGTCAAGATGACATTTTCAATTACTCCATGTGAAATAATATTCACTAGTTTCAACCTAGACCCCTCCTCTCAGGCTACAAAGAATGTCTTTGCTATCTAGCTATTGTGGACAGCAATATTGAGCTGGACTGGCAGCAGGCAGGAGAGTTAATCAACCAAGGAAAACAAGTTTAAATCCACTTCTCTACCACTTAAAAACCAAGCAAGTCACTCTTAAAGAGTGACCAGCTCATCCCAGGTTGCCCAGGACTTTCCTAGGATCAGCAATGAAAGTCCCACATCCTGGGAAAACCTACACAGTTGGACACCCTGGTCAGAGCTTTGTTGTCCTTACTCATAAAATGTGTAAAAGAAAATACCTCCCTCCTAGATTTATCATGGGAAGTAAGTGAGCTAGAACATAAAATGCTTAGCACACTGCCTACTATATAAAAAGGTTTTAATAAAAATGATAGCTAATGGGATTATTATAAATATCATTATTATTCAGAGACAGCTGTTCAGAACACCCTGGGTGCATTATATCATTTTGAGCAACTTTTAATTGGATTGCAGTCAAAGACAAGGCTGTAAATGTTGACACAATTCCCTCCCCACACTCCAGATGAAAGTATAATATGAAATCCTATTAGGCCTCACAATATGATTTTCACAAACTTCCTATAAGAAAAATTTCTTGATTTCTTTTCCCAGCATCGTGATTCCTCTGTTTCCATTTTATTATAAATTTTTTATTCACATTGAAATTAGAAGTCAATTCTAATTCTTTGCAGCTTAACCAGTGCACATGATTTTGCTGACTGACAGCATTAAATATCATAAGCCTATCTCCCTGAGCAAGAAGAAAGGATTCAAATGCCTGGAGTACGTGTGTATTTCATGCTTCATCCATTATTGACTACCAATTAAATTTCCCCTAATTCCACCTGAGAAGCTGTGGACTCTACTAGTTTCTAACAGAGTTAGTTAATTTTAAATTTTTATTTATTTTTTTATTTTTTACAAGGTGGCCTGTATAGTTTTTTTATTCTAACCCATTATATATGACAGCAGGATGCATTTCAATTCATATTACACATATAGTGCACAATTTTTATGTCTCTAGTGGTACACAAAGTAGAGCCATACCATTTGTGTTTTCATACATGTACTTAGAGTAATGATGTTCATCTCATTTCACCGTCTTTCCTACCCCCACGCCTCCTCCCTTTCCCTCCCTCCCCTTTGCCCTATCTAATTTCCTCCCATGCTCCCCAGCCATCCCAATTATGCATCAGCATCCACATATCAGAGAAAACATTCAGCATTTTTTTTGTGTGTGTGCTTGGCTTACCTCACTTAGAATAATATTCTCCAACTTCATTCATTTGCCTGCAAATGTCATGATTTTATTCTTTTAATCCCAAGTCATATTCCATTGTGTATATATACTACAGTTTCTTTATCCATTCATCTACTGAAGGGCATCTAGGTCGGTTCCACAATTTTGCTATTGTGAATTGTGCTGCTATAAAATTGATGTAGCTGCATCCTTGTAGTATGCTGCTTTTAAGTCTTTAATTTAAAAAAACATATTATGTGTTCAATGGCATGCGAGTATTGTATTCTAATAATCACCATTTAATATCACAAGGAGGAAGTGTTTCCTGGTGTAGGAAGGTCAGTGATCTGGGCTTCTGTGATTTTCATAAATAATGCCATATTATATACACATTATATCCCAGCCCCATACATACAAAATGCTCAACTTTAAAACTCTCACAATTAAAATAGCATTCTTTACTTTTATTTTCTCTGGAGTTTATATCCCACATTTCATTTCCTGGACTTCTCAGTACAATCCCCAACTCAGGAACATCTCAACCATCCTCTTTGGGAGGGAGCTGAAGGATTTCACCTAGAAACACTCATTTTCTGCCCCAGCTGGGTGCCAGTGCTGCTGGTGGACCTTCGCCTACCTCCTCGGCAACTCCCCTTACTTCCTCTGAGGATTGCTCTGGACTTTCCTCCTCTTCTTAAATCCCCCTGAGCAGCCCCATTTCTACAGATGATCCAGAAAAGAGGAACAGTCAGAGTGAACTTGAACAGCTTCACTCTCCTCTGCCTCTGTGTTTCCTTCAATAGCAATAACTGGCATGTCCTGAGCACTCTGGGCACCAGATGCTGGGCAGAGGTTCATGCTTCATCTTGTTTAGTCCCCCATTCAACCCTAGGGTATTCAAATAAGTATAACTCCGTTTGCAGCTGAGAAAATTGAGAGTTGAGGAGTTTATGCAACTTGATGAAAGTTACTCCCCTGGGAAAGAACAGAATTGGCATCCTGTCGCTCTGCTCAGAGAGTTTGGCTGGGGTCTTATCACTGAGTCAGTGTTTTGGAAACTCCTTTGGGCATTCCTTCAAGACAGTCAACTGAAATCCCCCTATCAGAAATGACCAATGTTAAAATGTTCATTATCCTCCTTTTAATTTTTAAATACATTACATTGCATTCAAGGTTGTTTTGAGCATATATAGTTTCGTACCCTGCTTTTCCTTCTTAACGTTACATTTTGAACACATATTTTTAAATGGTACATAGTAAACCTTTTTTTTTCCATAGATCACTTCTACAAAACACATATGAATTACCTACCCACTAAAAGCAGGTAAACATACAGGTACAGATATAAATCATCTCTAGCCCACCACAAGGCTTCCCAGTCAATGCCCCAAAGTGGCTACTCTTCTGAAATCTCTCCATAGATTAGCTCATTGATATAAAATTCTATTCTCAAACTTCATGTAAATAGAATTACACAGTATAAATGGTTCCCAACTTAAGGTGGTTTGACTTAGGATTTTTCAACTTTACAATGGTGCAAAATCTATACACATTCAGCAGAAGTCACATTTTCAATTTTCCCTAACTCTTAGTAAGAGGTTTGCAACCTTCTCTGAGATACTGAGTGGCAACAGGGAGCCATAGTTCCCAGAGGAGACATACTACAGGAATTTCCTCTGTAATAGGCTGCATTGCCAGTGTTTGGGGATATTGTGTTTTCACATCCCATCATGTCTACAAACATCCATCTGTGTGTACATGAGATGCTCAATACTTCATAATAAAGTAGGCTTTGTGTTCGATGATTTTTGCCCAGCTGTATGCTAATGTAAATGTTCTGAGCCTGTCCAGGTAGGCTGGGCTAAGCTATGATGTTTGATAGGTTAGGTGCAGTAAATGCATTTACAAGCTCATCTCAACTGTCACCTTCTCCATAAAATAATTCTTAACTCTCCCAACAAAATGTTAAATCTCCTGTCAACTATTTTCATAAAATGACTTTTTCAGTATTTAAAGTATGCAAATACTCTTCTAAATGCTTTCTATCTATTAATCCATTTAATCTCATGAGGTAGATATTGTCCATATTTTATAGATGAGGAAAATGAGGTACAGAAATGCAAAGGTCTAGAATTACATAGATTTCCTTATTGGGATGTAAGCATTGGGAAGAGAGAGAGGGAGATGAAGGGTGGGAAGAGGGGGAAAAATCAGCAGGCCAGCATTACAAAGTCCACTGAGATGGTTTTGTGTTACCCACCTGGGAGGAATTATTTTTACCAGTCTTTCCCTCCTTTGCACACAGAACATTGACTGATGCTGGTATGTGCACCTGCATGTGTACATGTTTGTACCAAAGCACGATTCTCACAACACAGTTCACAAATTGAAACTGAATGCAGCTTCTTCATGTGTACCCTGTGACTCCTTAAGCCTGTCGTCTTGGGATCCTAGTGTCACGAGGTAAAAGCCCAAGTTGGTTCAGGAGCCTCCTGTAGTCTTCTGGGCTCTATTCAGGAATCTCCTAGGTCTCCTAACCCTGAGATCCCCAGGCAGACCTTGAAACTGTGAATACATTCCCTTCCTAACTATGGATGTGCTGGAGAGAATGCTGTGTTTATGAGCATCTCACAGGCACCCTCAAGACTGACTTCACACCCCTCTGATCCACATTAAAGGAGAATCATGTTTAGAATGTATGCTCTGCATGGAGATAGATTCTTCTCATTTCTCCAGGGCCTCCAACCCACTTAAACTTCTGGGAGGGAGAACAGCTGTCTTTGGAAAGCCACCAGACCATAAAGCAGCTTTTCCCACGGTGAATCCAGTTTCTGTAGAACCCCACTCTCTGGTGCTGAGTGTGTGGGAGCGTATGTATACATAGGGACTTTGTATTTCCTGGAATCCAAACTCCCTAGAAGCTGACATAAATGAGCTTGGGAATGAGTGAGTTTTTACCCTTATTATAAGAAAGTGACATGTGACAAATTCTTTTTCAACTGGGAAATAAACAAGCTGACCTCAGGAATTTACTTTTATTTTTTAAACATCAGGCATCAAAGCATCTCTTTTAATATAAATAAGGTCTCAGGTAGCAAAGCTTAAGGGGGAAAAAATCACAGAGGACAGGAAATTGAACATTTCTAAGATTCATTAATCACTAAATTTCATTGAGTTTGAGGGACCATTCCTTTGTGTTCATAACTGTGTGCCTAGTAGCCCTGTGAGCTCATAATGTGTTTTCAGATATTATCATCGAGTCTTCCCCAAACACTGGTTTTCTTAATAACTTTTTTAAAAGTTTGCAGTAATTTTGCATTTACATAAAAGTCACAAGGATACAGCAGAAAACACCCTTCACATAAGTTCAGTTTTGCTCATGTTACCATCTTCGCATTGCCTATTAAAAACCAACAATACTATTTTGTATCTATTACTAGCAACTAAACTCCAGACTTAATTAAGATGTCACCAGTTTTTCCACCAATGTCCTCTTGCTGCTCCAGGATCTACACACAGCATTTAGTTGTCTTGTCTCCATAGTGGTCTCTGGTTCTCCATCTTTCCTTATTTT